CACTCCAGTCTGGGCGACAGAGTGAGACTCCAACTCAAAAAAAAAAAAAGAAAAGAAATTACTTAATGGGTGCAAAGTACATTATTCCAAAGATAGATACGTTAAAAGCCCTAACTTCACCACTATGCAATATATGCCCATGTAACAGAATTACACTCATACTCCATAAATGTATACAAATAAAATACAAATACAAAAAGCTGGATATGTAAACTTGTCTTAATAAGTTCAAATGCAGAAAGAAATAAGTTATAATAACATCTTTGTTAAACACTTAAATTCACTGAAAAAAAAACAGCTTATGAAGCGTCTTTAAGAAAGCATGTTTACATTTGCCTTTTAAGCTGGATATATAAATCTGTTTCATACAAAAAGGAAAAAAACACACTGTAAATTAAAATATTTATTATTAAATAAATTTATTTTATTTAAATTTATTATTTTATTTGATAAAGTAGATTTAATAATGGTGGGTATAAGGGCCTAAACCTAAATAAAACTGTTAAACCACCAACTAACAAATATTTGGGTTAACTTAATTTGGAATAAGTTTCCTCAACTGAGTTTTAATTTCCTGCTTACTCTACCATACATGTTTGGCTTCAGATTATGTTAGAAAAAAATTTGAGCACAGATTTATAAACCTTCTCCTAGGTATCATTTAATTTGTAAACAAATTTTGTGTAATATATATGAGGGGACCCAAAAAAACCCCCAGAATTTATTTATACAAAAATGTATATTTATTCTTACATGTTTAAACTTCAGTCACCTTCAAAGTGTTCTTTGTCTGATGCAGTACACCTATTGGGATGCTTTTCTTACTACTCAAAACAGTTTTTGAACTTGATTATTTTGATAACTTTTAGTGCTTCTATCATTTTTTGTTTCACCTCTTCTGCATTGGCAAAACGCTCCCCTTTGAGGACTTTTTTCTTGGGAGGGGAAGTTACTTGTGACAAGATCAGGTGAATAGGGAGGGTGAGGTACGGAAGCCATGCCATTTTTGGTCAAAAACTGCTGAACACTCAGCTCAGTGTAGGCAGCTGCATTGTCCTGGTGGAAGAAACAGTCACCTGTTGGGCATAACTCAGGATGTTTCTTCGGCAAGTCATGACGCAACCTTCCCAAAACTTCCAAATAAAAACTTTGGCTGACCTTTTGATCCAGAGGAACAAATTCCAGGTATACTACAAGGGACCCGCCTTTCAAAAGATAATTATGGTTTTTTGGGAGTCCCCCCTCCTATGTGTTTTTTTTTATTAACACATGAAATAAAAAGATCTACTGGTGGAACTAATAAGTTCTGTAATTTCAAAGTAGTGATGAGCTTAAACCATATTTCAAGATCACTGCAACTGTAACACAATAGGAAATAGATATTTCTATTAGTGATAGAGTCACAGGTACTAATAATAATACTGTGGTTTTTTTCCTAAAACTAATAATGAAGGCTGCTACATATCAGCTAGAAGTTGGTGAAAATAAATATGTAGCTTTTTTCACATTCAAGTTCACAGATTTTTCAGCTATACGAAGTCTGACAATTAAGTTCACGAACTCATCCTAGAAAAAATGCTACATACCTCATTGCTGAATATCACTATGGTCACCTTTGAAGTACTCCCCTTGGGAAGCTATGCACCCATGTCAGCATCTAGTCCGCCCATTAAAGCAATTTTGGAACTCTTCTTCTGGAATGGCCATCAGAACCATCATCATATTACCCTTGATGTCCTGAATGTCATCAAATGTCTTCTTTTCAATATGTTCTTTGTCTTCAGGTAAAGAAAAAGTCACTAGGGGCCAGATCAGGTGAGTAGGGAGGGTGTTCCAATATAGTTATTTGTACAGTACTGACAATGTAAGCTCACAGTAGCAAGTTCACAAACTTAATGATCAGACCTCAACAAATAACGATGACAGCTCCAATGGCCATTCCAGAAAAAGAGTTCCAAAACTGCTTTGATGGGTAGACTAGGCACTGGCATTGGTGCATAGCTTCTCAAGGGGAGTACTTGGAAGGTGACCATAGTGATATTCAGCAGTGAGGTATGTAGCACTTTCTCTAGGATGGTTCATGAACCTAATTATCAGACCTTCATAGAACCCCTACTCTATGACAAAATTCTGAAAGAATACACACCATGTTGGAGCAGCGTAGGGTGGGGTAGGGGAGAAAAGCAAAAGTATTTGGTTTGTGCAAACATAATTGCGGTTTTTGCAAGTTGAAATTTGCCATTTGATATTGGAATACATTCTTAATTTGGTTATGTTATACATCATTTCAATGCACATTTCTCACTTTATTTTTTTTACTAATGACTAATTATTTGCTGCTTATTTTATATTTATTTTAAACTATGGAAATGATGTTAGGCAAAAAGCAAATTTGAGCAATTTTCTTATTCAAGGTCAAAATGGGTCATAAAGCAGTGGAGACAACTGCAACATCAACAAAGCATTTGGCCCAGGAACTGCTAACAAATGTGCGGTGCAGTGGTGGTTCAAGAAGTTTTGCAAAGGAAACAAGAGCCTTGAAGATGAGGAGTGTAGTGGCTGGCCATTGAAGTTGACAATGACCAGCTGAGAGCAATCATCGAAGCTGATCCTCTGAGAAGTTGCTGAAGAACTCAGCGTTGACCATTCTACAGTTCAACATTTGAAACAAATTGGAAAGGTGAAAAAGCTCAAGAGGTGGATGCCTCATGAGCTAACCAAAAATTAAAAAATCATTTTGAAGTGTCATCTTCTCTTTCTCTACACAACAACATCCATTTCTCAATCGAATTGTGATGTGCAATGAAAAGTGAATTTTATACAACAGCCGGTGATGACCAGCTCAGTGGCTGGACTGAGAAGAAGCTCTGAAGCACTTCCCAAAGCTAAACTTGCACCCAAAAAGGATCATGGTCACTGTTTGGTGGTCTACTGCCAGTTCCACTACAGCTTTCTGAATCCCAGTGAAACTGTTACATTTGAGAAGTATGTTCAGCAAGTTGATGAGACACACTGAAAACTACAATGCCAATGCCTGCAGCCTGCACTGGTCAACAGAAAGGGCCCAGTTCTTCTCCACAACAACATCCAATCGCACATCACAGAACCAACATTTCAAAACTTGAACAAATTGGGCTACAAGGTTTGGCCTCATCTGCCATATTCATCTGATCTCTTGCCAACTGACTACCACTTCTTCAAGTATCTCAACAACTTTTTGCAGAGAAAACGCTTCCACAACCAGCAGGATGCAGAAAATGCTTTCCAAGAGTTCATCAAATCCTGAAGCACGGACTTTTATGCTACAGGAATAAACAAACTTATTTCTCATTGGCAAAAATGTGTTGATTATGACGGTTCCTATTTTGATTAATAAAGCTGCGTTTAAGCCTAGGTATAAAGATTTAAAATTCATGATCTAAAACTGCAATTACTTTTGCACCAAACTAATAGCATTTTTAATGCTTTCAAATCCTGTATTACTTGATTTTTTTTTAACAGCAAGATTGTACATATGTTTTACTTGTGTAAAAAACATAGTATAATCCAGACTCCAGATCAGAAGCCACTGCTGCTCAGGGAGAAAGAGGGCCATCAAATGCCAGAATACTACAGCTGTCTCCCATCTTGCCCCTACCCCCCAGATGGAAATACCACTTTTATCATTGTTCACCTTTAGCACTTTGAAAATGAAATTATGAACCTTCAGCCTCCCACCCACAGAACCCACTGGTTGAAAGACAGGGATGTAACCAGTCCCTGGTTAAAGGACAGGATTAGGTATGTTTCTGGCATCTCAGATGCAGCTATATTTATATTGATAATATATTTCTGTTCCTCCAAGTTATACTAGAATAATAATTCAGTTTAATAGTGGGACATTTATCCACTCTTTATAATATTGTTTAATGATAAATCCTTTCTGAATTCCAAATATCTGATGATTTGTAAGAGAACATTAAACATGGGTATTCATAAGCTGAACTTCCTGGTATTTAGCAAATGTCCAGATTGTTCATCAGTATACTAGATGATAAACTGACTCCTAAATTTACTAGGTAATAGTAAAAAGTTTCTTTTATGTAAAAGGTACAATCATTGCTTCTTAACAGATAGCTCTTTGCTTTCATTAGGAATACAGATGGCTGCTGAACTAGCAGAAGACAATTTCATCAACCTTGTGGGAATGAAACTTATTAACAATACACTTTACTTTATAGGTAAGTCTAAAGCCATAGAACAAATACCAATTCAGATAAATGTATTCAACTAGAAAAGATGCTGTAAGGTGAACTATTAAGTGGCTCCTTTTTGTTACCAAATTCCACTGTAATATTAATGACTCTTCTCTAAAAAAAACTTTTTTTTTTTACCTCTAGAAGTTAACCATAATATGTCCAGGGTCCCAGCACCTTGTCCCACCACACGGCCTGGCACTCTAATTAGCAGTAACCCACTCTCAGGTGGCAGCAAGTGCATATTATGAAAATCCTGCAAAACTGGGTACATTGAGGAAATACAATTTCCCAAAGCAAATTAACAAATTATATAAGAGATTTTCTAAATCTAGAGTTCCATGAACTATACCATTTTTATATATGTTTGACAAGCAAAAATGTATTTTATGATTAATATTCTGAGCAATTTGGCTTCATTGGAAAGTTTTCCTTCTTTTGAAACTCATAAAAAATCCTTAGGTGACTTTTCATTTAAGCAATAAATGTAAGAGTAAAATCTATCGCTTTATAAAATTTCTTTTTAATCTACATATTGATATTTTTAAACTCTCAGTTCTTTATATCTAACTTACTTGAGAACACATTGAGTCTAATAAGCTTCATTTCATGGCCTTTTGGATTATATAATAGTCTGATGAAAGCCAACAAAGACCAACACCAGTAAAACAGGGGTTAAATAATGGGGAGCAGCAGCAAAGAGTAGTAAAAGGGTACAGCAAGAGGAAGTTCTGAGTTGAAATATAGATTTAACATATTTTGTTTTTCTCTTTTTCCTCCTTAGCTGAAGATGATGGTAAAGTATAAATTTATTTCACTTTCTTTGCAAATTAAGTGGCTACTTGAGACACATCTATATCATTATTATCAGCTGGGAGAAATTGTCCACATAGTACCAATCTATTTGGGAAGCTAATCTGACCTCAAAGGAATGTGAACTCAATGAAGATGACCAAAAGAGATATGAAGAAGAACTTCCAGCAAAATATGTTTCTCTGCACCTTAGGAAATTATCCTGCTTAGAATCTATGAAATAGAATTTGCCTGTTACATAGGAGGAAGTCATGAATTCTCTGGAGGACATAGGAAAGGGGGGTTGAGGCATCAGAATTGCCCAAAATCAGTAACATCTTCTTTCAACCTCCTCTCAGAAATGCTTTGGGAAGAAACCTGGGAGGCTTCCAGGGGCAGAGAATTCTGGAAGTAGAGGAAATCGGAATGGATAGGGCAAGCAGACCATGCTTAGAGGATAAAATCTGAAAGAAGGCATAGCATTTATGAATTAAGAGTAACTCAGGACGGAAGTAGACCGGGAGCAGAAGAATGATGAGAAAAAATGGAGTGACAAATAGGGCACAATCATTGCTTCTTAACAGATGGCTCTTATTCCAAAATGCGAAATTGGGACCTGATCTTGGAGATAATAGGGATTCATTAAGCACAGTGTTATTAGTTAGGATAAAGATTAGTTCTCTGTAACCAAGACATCCAGAAATATAGTAGCTGTGTAAGATTAAAAATTCTTATCTTAAAGTTTAAGCAGGCAGTTCAGGATTAGTATGACTGGATGCCACCTGACAAAGTTGGGATCTCAGGTTTCTTCGGTCTTGTTATTCCATCATCTCCTAGTTTTGATCTAATTCCCATAGCTGAAGATCATCCTATTTCCTGAGTCTCTATCCCAGTTATCAAGAAAGGGTCAAGATAAGAGGAAGACAGACCCATTCCTGTTAAAGACTCTACTTGGAAGTTGTACACATTAGTACCCTCATATTCTGTTGACTAGAATTTAGTCACATGACCACACCAATAAAATCTTTCCTGTGAGCGGCCATGTACCTCTTTAAAATTCAGAAATAACATTATTGCATTTAAAAAAATATTCTCTAACTTCAGTATAAATAACTGATGGTTCGCGGCTGGAGGTCAAAAAGAGGGGGTCAGTTAAGAAGCGATGGTGCTGTGAATTAAGTTAGGCACAGTGGAGTACTGATGAGGAGCTGTGAATGGATTTTAGAAATACTTGAATCAATACAACATGATTTGGGGTTGGATTTGGAAAAGGATGGAGAGGGAATCAGAAGAGATGATGCTTACATTTTTCACTTAGGCAATTTGTGCCATTTGGTGGTATAGGAAACACTGGAGGAAGAGCATTTTTTGGTGTATAAGAAGAGGAAGATAGATGATGAATTTTATTTTGGATCTTGAGATGTCTGTGGGACATCCTTGTGGAGATGTCCAGTAAACTCTTGTACATGGGTTACTGAGCCCAGGACAAGAATTAGGCTAGAGTCAGAGGTGAACTCATCCTAGAAAATGTGCTATATACCTCACTGCTGAATATTACTACACTCACTTCGATGTACTCCCCTTAGGAAGCTATGCATCCATGCCAGCACCTAGTCTACCTGTCAAAGCAATTTTGGAACTCTTTTTCTAGAATGGCCATCAGAGCTGTCATCATATTATCCTTGATGTCCTGAATGTCATCAAATATCTTCCTTTCAATATTTCCTTTATCTTCAGGTAAAGAAAAAAGTCATTGAGGGCCAGATTAGGTGAGTGGGGAGGATATTTCAATACAGTTATTTGTACAGTGCTCCCAATGTACGTGCACTTCGGCAAGTTCATGAACTTCATTGTCAGACCACAACAAATAACAATGACGACCTTGATGACCATTCCAGAAAAAGAGTTCCAAAATTGCTTTGACAGGTAGACTAGGCACTGGCGACATCAGTGCATAGCTTCCCAAGGGGAGTACTTTGAAGGTGATCATAATGATATTCAGCAATGAGTTATATAGCACTTTTTCTAGAATGATTCGTGAACCTAATCATAGGATCCAGTATGCCTAGAAATGGCATCTGAAACTATAGAAATAAAAAGACAAACCAGAGGAAATATGTGGAGTGAGAGAGTAAAAGCCAATTATTAAACTCTTAAGGAATGCCTATGTTTAAAGGATGTAGTAGAAAGAGAAGTTAATAAAGAACAGAGCAAAAGGGAAGAAGAAAAACCAAGAGAATGCCACAGACTCTCAGGAGGGCAATTTCAAGATGGCAGTGAAAAGCACTGTGTTGAAATTTGCAGCCTTGATCATCGAGGGCCTGAAAGCAGCTATTGGATTTAGCAACAGGGAATTTGGTGATCTCAGTGAAAGCAGTTTGGTGGAGAAATGGAGGCAGAGGCAGATTGCAGTAAGTGGAAAGTGAGAGAAGGATACAGACAATTCTTGCCAGAAGGATGTCTGTTAAAAGGAGGAAACAGGATTGCTGCTACAGAGTGAGATAAGATGGATGGAGGAGCTTTAAATCTCAAAATGAAGAGCTTTATGCTTTTTTATTATCAAAATAATGTGTTTGTTATAACTAATTCAGGCAATAAATAATGATAATAACATGAAAAATAAGCCGGGCTCAGTGGTTCAGCCTGTAATCCCGCGCCTTTGGGAGGCTGAGGTGAGTAGATTGCCTGAGCCCGCGGGTTCGAGACCCGCCTGGGCAGTGAGACCTCATCTCTACAATAAATCAAAAAAATCAGCCAGGCATGGTAGCGCATGCCTATAATACCAGCTACTCGGAAGGCTGAGGTGGAAGGATTACTGGACCCCAGCAGGCGAGGCTGCAGTGGCCAGAAGCGGCCACTGCACTCCAGTCTGGGCGACAGAGTAAGACTCCAACTCAAAAAAAAAAGAAAAAAAGAAAAAGAAAAACATAAAAATCACCCAGAAATAATAACCATCATTCTGACGTAGTATTTTTATACTTCTTTAAATTTATTAATATATATAAATGCTTATAATTTTATTAAAGGAGATTATGCTATACCTAAACTGCTTTTTTAGTTGGTAATACATATGGACATCTTTCCACAGCAATGAATAATTACAATTAAATCCATAACATCCCATAGTAAGGGCATATCTTTGTCCTTTTGATGACATTCACATTGCTTTCAGTTTGTTGTTAAATTATTAACAGTGTTCCCATAAGCATTCTGGTACAAAACTATTAACACATTTGTCTGATTGTTTCTTTAGGATAAAATCCAGAAAGTAGAATTGCTGGGCTGATAGAAGAAAGGAGATGGTGGGTAAATCAAGGTCTCAGTAGAGGATACATACAGAGCACAGATAGGATCAACCTTAGATACCAGCAGGGATGCCATCACGTTCCCTTGAGACAACAGGGGTAGAAGAAGCAACTGGTGATGCCAGAGTTAAGTTTGTCCCTGGAGTAGCAGGAAATCATTTGTGGAAAGTAAGAGCAGAGGTGATGGTAGAAAGGTCCTGAAGAGAGTGAAGAAGATTTGAGATTGCATCTACAAACTATGGAAGAGAGCGCTGAACTGGAAAATGAGAGAAGTATTGACGGTTGGTGTGCTTGTAATGGCACCTATTGGAGCGTTTGCATAATTGTTCACCAGCAGCGCTCAGCAGCCAGGCTTGAAGTTTTGTAGCAGAAAGACAAATAAGTTAGGGATTTAAAATAGTGGCAGGATGGTAGATGAAATGATGAACCATGGGAACCAGCTGCATAGGGAAGGAAGGGAAGGCAGAAGAGGTTAAAGAGGGAGGAAATATAAGAATCAGGAGCCTGGAGGACACGTAAGAAAACCGAAAGGGTATCCTGAGTCCAAGGTTTTGTCAAAAAGACTGGTCAAAAAGTAGGCTATTTGGAGTTGACAGAGTAGAGCAGTTCTGAGTGGTAACAAGAAATTGAGTGTGCCCTTGGAAGTAGGTCACAGAACAATAGGCAGTCTTATCATAGCTGCTTCTGGAACAGAAGATTGTAATGTTAAAAGTTTTTGAAAGCTGAAATGTATAATTAATTGTAGGTTAAGAAAAAAATACTTTTTAAAAATCTAATGTATCTTGTAGAAAACCTGGAATCAGATTACTTTGGCAAGCTTGACTATAAATGCTCAATCATAAGAAATTTGAACAACCAAGTTCTCTTCATTAACCAGGGAAATCATCCTGTATTTGAGGAGATGACTGATTCTGATTGTAAAGGTATTTCTTTTTATTTTCAAACACAGAAATGACTAGCTACTTCCTACTTCATTTTACTGCCTACATATTTCTATGCTTGTTCCTATCCTTAGATGAAAAGTTACAGGAGTAATAATTTTACTTACAAGAAACTTTATAAGGCATCCATATTTTTTAGTTGGGATGAAAACTCGGATGCAATGCAGACATTGCTAGGGGTTGCGCCACCTTGCACCTAAATTTGGATCACCAGTCCCTTCATTGTAACTGCATTAGCTGAATGAAATCTCTAGTTGGGGCCTTAATTCCTGCTGGTTCTAACTGAAAATGCTGATAGGGTTTTCCAAACAAGCAAAAAAAATACACGTGCATTTCAAATGAGTCTGTCTTCCCCCTGGAGCTTAGAGTACCTTAGGAAATTAAGTGGCCAGGCATAGTGGCATGCATCTGTAATCCCACCTACTCCAGAGGCTAAAGCAGGAGCATCATTTGAGGCCAGGTCTTTGGGACTGTAGTACACTGTGATCATGCCTGTGAAGAGCCAGTGCATTCCAGCCTGGGCAACATAGCAGGCCCCGACGCTAATTTTTTTTTTTTTAAGAACTTTAAAAAAGAAAGGAAAATGATTGCATTTATTGTGCCTTCCAAAGTAAGAATTTCAAATATCAGCATTTTAAGCTGAAGTGAAACAATGAATAGTCTTTTTTTTTTGAGTTGGAGTCTCACTGTGTTGCCTAGGCTGGAGTGCAGTGGCATGCTCACGCCCACCGCAGCGTAGACCCGCTGGGCTCCAGCAATCCCTCTGCCTCAGCCTTCCAAGTAGCTGGAATTACAGATGCGCGCAATCACACCCAGCTAATTTTTTATTTATTGTGGAGATGAGGTCTCACCAAGTTGCCTGGGCTGGTCTTGAACCTGTGGGCTCAGGCAATCCATCCACTCACTGCAGCCTCCTAGAGTACTGGGATTATAGGCTGAGCCACCGAACCCGGCCTGCATTCTTGAAAAATACTAAATTTTTGCCTTAAAGATATTTTAATATTCTATTTAGCCAAAAGTTGAAGACACTCTTTTAGAATTTACAAAAATTTTTAAACACTCAAAAAGTTGCTGCATGATGTGAGTCCATGCTCCACAGCAGTTCTCCTCAGTTCCTCCCACCAGTCCCTGTGTTCCCCACATCCCAGGGTTTCTCTTCCTCTGCAACTTAGCACCTTTCTTCTGTTCCAAGTTCTCTGTACATTTTCTTTTTTTTTTTATAAATTAATTTGCTTTCAAAAAAAACCAAGTTGCTGCATGTGTGTTATAACAAATGTTTAAATATGTCTTAAAGAATTTCTGACCAACTATACAGTCTCCTGCTAACTGGCCAAATCTCAGAGTGCAGGACTGAGAACAGAGTCTATCAAGGACTATTCTTTGATTAAATTTCCACAAATATTTTTTGCAAAAATTCTTCTAACTCGTGTTCTCACTTATTAATGTTTGTTTCAGATAATAAAGAGCAGACCGTATTTAGGATACATATGTATAAAGATAGCGATGCCAGAGGTATGGCTGTGGCCATCTCTGTGAAGTATAAGAACACCTCAACTCTCTCCTGTGAGAACAAACATCTTTCCTTTAAGGTAAGACAGAGCCTAACTTTGTTTTTCTATCATATGAATAGACAAAATGAGAAAACTCAAATATCCTCAGTCCAACCTTTTGTCTAGACAGGAGTAACAGGAAGCAAAGAACCATTAACATGAATAGTTAGTAAAAATTATCACACTCTTTACCTATTGTGACAACATTATGATTTTTCTGATTCTGTCACAGGGATTACTTGTTTCATAACCTACATCTTCTGAATATCCAGTTTATATAAATAATAATACAGAATGCATATGTTTATTTAAGAATAACATGTGACTTTCCAGAATAAGTTTTGCTACATAGAATGAAGCTAATTATCCTTCTATAAGTCCACTCCTTTGTAAATTGTGATGAAAATATTTTAATCCTTAATTGTTTCGTTCCTGCCCCTTAGCCTAAGTCTTGGATGCAATCTTCAGCTTCCAGTTCATGTATGTTATTTTTAATGTTAATCTAATAGAAGAAAATGAACAAAAAATTACAGCTGTAAAAATAACACTGTAATTATCTCAAAGCCAAGTATAAATTATTTCTGGTCACTATTTTTTCTCTGTTATTCTCATTGTTTTCTATTATTTCTCTCTAGCTTCTTCATTATTAATAGATAAGCCACCATAAACTATAGCTACAGACTGACCTAGAAAACTTTCCTCCCAATTGTAACCAGGGGTGCTTACAAATTGACAATGCTTTGTAGGAGAATCCCGCATTGAGAAGACTCTTTCTGACCAGAAATTTGCCAATAAAGAACTGCTGTTAGGATTCTCCAAGGTTGTTGGGATTGTTTCTACAACCATTTGCTGTGTGCCTTCCCAGTGATAATAAGTGGTCAACATCAAGACTAAGAAAGTTACTGCCCTCGGATTTCCTTGCCTCTATTCTGAAACATGACATTGAACTGTGATTAAAGAGATCACCTGTTGTATCTATCAACAATCTCTCTTCAACCATAACTTTCCATGCTAGTTCATCTTCCTCTGTAATGTTACTAGAGCTTTTGAAGTTTTAACTAAGGAGTATTTCTCACTTCTACATTAAACTACAGCTTAGTCCCAAATTGATTCTTACAGCTAGGGACTCTTCCTAAATTGTGGCATACAGAAGACACAGGCAGAAGTAGATGCCTATGGGGGAATAGTTTCTGCTGTCATCAACTTAGGATGCTTACTTGTTGTTAAAGGACAACAATGGTCAAGAGTTATGACTGTCAGTTCCATAACTGATTGAGAAGTTGGAGGTACCCTCTAAAGTCTTTCAGGCATCTTAGGAGGAGGATGAAATGCCATTTTAATTCTAGGTTTCTTTCTTCTGGTCCTTAGGATCATAAGCCCAAATGTCTACTGGTTCCAGGCTTAATATGGAAGAACTTTGGGTGATGTCAGCGTATTCTGGTCCATCCTGAAAAGTAGACATGACACAATATTAGAAGTGCAGGCAGTATTGGCAATTGGATGACCAGAAGAGAGAGAGTTTCAAGTACTCTAACTATTTCTCACAAGACCCAATTCTGTGACTGAAAGATATAGGAATCAGCATTTGGCCTTCCATGGCAGGTCCCAGCCAAGTAGATTACATTCAGAACAGAAATTCAAAACTACTGTGTCACCAGAGTGCTTGGCAGGGAGACTGAGCCAATACAGCAGGGCTATATAGGACTCCAGACTTAGCCCTAGAATAAGCATTGTGGCTATTTCCTATAAGAAGCAGAGGAGATCACTATTGCTCTGTTCAGAGATGCTTTTTCTTAACTCTTGAGAAGAAGAACTACTTTCATTCTGCGTGGTAATATACTTTGAAATAAAGTGCATATATGCAAATCGTTCATGCCCTAAAATAATTAGGTAATGGTTTTTTTTCTCTACAGGAAATCAGTCCTCCTAATGAGATCAATGATACAAAAAGTGACATAATATTCATCCTGAAAAGTGTTCCAGGACATGATAATATGCTGCAATTTGAGTCTTCATCATACAAGGGATATTATCTAGCTTGTGAAAAAGAGAGACAACTTTTCAAACTCATTTTGAAAAAAGAAGATGAAAGGGATAAATCTGTAATGTTCATTGTTGAAAACAGTGACTAGATATCAACATTTCATAATGTGAACTTTCTGAGTTTCTAAGTTTCAGAGAGGTTTTCAGAGTTCACAATCCTGTAACTGAAGAGAATAAATAAACGTTCACAAAACTAAATTGATTCTCCTTTATCCAAGTGAATCAAATATTTGTATAATGTTGTAAAAAATATATATAGATTGAAAAAGCATGCTACATTGTTCATTGGCTTACAGAGTATACTCAACAGGATTGTTTTTAATCTTTTAGGTTCTTGGTCCTAATAACAAAATATGTTGATACTTGAATTTTCTAGTTTTTAAGAATATTATTGCAGCATTATTCACAATAGCAAAAACATGGAACCAACTGTGCTGTCCATCAAAAGAGGACTGGATTTTTTTAAATGTAGTACATATACACAATGGAATATTATGCAGTCATAAAAGGACAAAATTATGAACTTTGCAGCAACTTGAATGAACTTAGAGGCTATAATACTGAGTGATCTATCACAGAAACAAAGAAGCAAGTATCACATGTTCTCACTCACAAGCAGAACTTGAACAACTATCGTAATACTATAAGAAAGCCATTGGCAGTCGTGTGAAACTGCCAGGGGCGGGGGGGAGACACCTCATCAACAAGGGTACCTGCATAATAAACATGTGTACACCTAACCTTGAATTTAAAATTAAAATTTAATTTTAACTTCCACATATTTAAAAATTTTTTTAAAGAAATTTTCAAAAACCCACTGTTTTTTTGTTTTTTTTTGAGTTGGAGTCTCTGTCAACCAGGCTAGAATGCAGTGGCATACTCACAGCCACTGCAGCCCTGACCTGCTGGACTCAAGTGAGCCTTCCACCTCAGCCTTCCAAGTAGCAGGAAACACAGGTGAGTGCCACCACTCCCAAATAATCTTTTTTTTAATTGTAGAGATGAGGTCTCACTAAGTTGCCCGGGCTGGTCTCAAACCCCTGGGCTCAGGCAATCCTGTCGCCTTCACCTCCCAAGGTGCTGGGATTATAGGCATAAGCCACTCTGCCCAGCCAAAACCACTGAGCTTTTTATAAGGAGGCCACTTCACTTCACTTGATAAACTTCAGTGAAGTGTATGTGGGTGTGGGTGTGTGTGTGTGTGTGTGTGTTTTAAGTCAGGATCTCACTTTGTCACCCAGACTGAAGTGCAGTGGCATGATCATGGTTTACTGCAGCCTCAAATTCCTGGGCTCAAACAATCCTCCTGCCTCAGCCCCTCCAGTAGCAAGGATTACAGGTGCATGCCACCACATCCGGCTGATTTTTTTATTTTTTGTAGAGACAAGATTTCACTATGTTGCCGAGGCTGGTCTCAGAACTCTTGGACTCAACCGATCCTCCTGCCTCAGCCTCCCAAAGTGCTGGGATTATAGGCATGAGCCACTGCACCAGTCATAAAGTCAGTATATTTTTTAAATTGTCCATTTGATCCTGAATTCAGCCAGCAACATGAAAAAGGATTATACCCTCTGTCCAAATGGCATTCATCCTGCATACAAAGATGGCTTAATATCCTAAAATTAAATTAATATGGTACACATATTAATAAAAAATAAAAACCACATTATCAACTCTTTTTTTCTTTTTCCACAATTCCTTGGTGAACACTATCTTAATAGATGCAGAAAAAGCATTTGGAAAAATCCAATTCGTATTAAAAATTTTAAATAAACTTGAAAGAAAAGAGAACTTCTGCAGCATGATAAAGACATCTGTGGAAAACCTACAGCTAGCATCATACTTAATAATGAAAAACTGAATTATTTTTCCCCTAAGATCAGGAATAACGCAAGCATGCCAGATCTTGCAACTTCTGTTCAATATCACACTGGAGGTTCTAACCAATATTAACAGATAAGAAGTAAAAAGGCGTCCTAATTAGAAAGGAGGACTTTATTTGCAGGCAACATTGTTCTTCATGTGGAAAATTCTAAGGAATACACACACACACACACACACACACACACACACACACACACACACACACACTCAGTAAGGAGGAGTTTCATGATCCCCGGCCTGGGAATAACCATCACTGTCAGGGTGTCAGGAGGGAAGGGCAGGGCCTTTCCGGATCCTGGTAGGTAAGGGCGTGAGGTGTTATCCAGGTGGGAAAGAAATGCTGAGCTGGCAAGGTCACTGTGGTGCTTCTGGACACCGTGCACCACCCCCACAGCTCTCCTCAGGGTTGGGTCCAGCGGGTGTTGGTGTTCTCTCTTCTATAGTGAATATTTAACCGTGTAAGACGCTGAGGTTAGCAGCCACTGCTGAGTGGCAGGCAAAATCCGAAGCCACAGATGTTACCCTCTCTCTGCCCCTCACCTCAGAGACCTGAGGCTACAGACGGGACCCCAAGACTTCAGAGAGCTTGGGAGTGTGTACATTTCATCAGCTGACTTGCCTTGTCTGTAAGAAAGTATTGTCTCAGAATGCATACATTCCTTTCTTCATTCCCTCTTATAGATTCCTATGTTAAGCACCCACTATGGTCTAGGTCCTCCACTAGGTGCTGGGGATATACCAGTGAATAAAACAGGCAAAGGTCCCTGCCTCCAGAGCCAACAGTCTACCAGGGAATAGAAAAACAATAAACAAGAAACATAGTATATATGTTAATTACATATGTGCGAGAGGGAGGGCCAAAAAACCCAGAGTTTATAAAAAATTGTGTATTTGTTCTTGCATGTTTAAACTTCAGTCACCTTCCCAAGTACTCTCCGTTTGATGCAATACACCTATCGAGATGCTTTTTTCCACTGCTCAAAACAGTTTTTGAACTCGTCAGTTTGGATGCCTTTTAATGCTTCTGCCACTTTCTGTTTCACCTCTTCCACATCATTTGAACATTCCCTTTTACTTCCTAATTTTAAAACTTACTGTAAAGCTAAAGTCACGACCATTTAGTACCAATATAAGGATAAATATATAGATTAAGGGAACAGATTTGTGAGTACAGAAATAAACCCTTACGTTTATGGTCAGTTAATTTTTGATGAAGGTGCCAAGGCAGTCCAGCCTGAGCAACAGAGTGAGACCCGTCTCTAAATCAAAAAAGAAAATTAAATCTCATAATGTGCTGCTATCTTATCAACAAGCTTTGTTTAGATAAAATCAACATTCTTAAGATTTTTTATAATAAAAAATAACAACGAAGCAGCACATACTATATCTGAGAGTAGCTTTGTTTTATCATCCCTTACCGGCTGTCTCTGACCTAAATTGAAGAAACTGAGTCCAGGTATGGTGACTCACCCCTGTAATCCTAGCACTTTGGGAGGCCAAGGTGGGAAAACTGCTTGAGGCCAGGAGTTTAAGGCCAGCCTGGGCAACATAGTGAGTCCCTATCTCTACAAAAAAAATATACATTTTTTTAAATTAACTGGGCATGGTGGTGTGTGCCTGTAGGCCCAGCTACTTAGGAGCCTGAGGCAAAAGGATCCCTTAAGCCCAGGAATTTGAGGTTACAGTGAGCTATGGTTGTGCCACAGTACTCTAGCCTGGGTAACAGAGCAAGACCCTGTCTCGAAATAAATAAATAATTTAAAAGATTTTTTTTTTTCCTAAATGGAAAGACTGAGTTGTGCCCTTTTATGTTCTAAGTTCCTTTATTCTCGCTTTCTTATACCTTGACTCTAATAATACAATGTGACCATTTAAAGGTGCAATGTGAGAAGATGACGGCGAGGAGAACGGGTTTGGGAGTCAAATGAGCTTGTTTGACTCCCATCACCCAAGATTTGTCCCTGAACCAAAGTAGACAAGAGCTGGGTACTTTGGACACAACCCCTCTGAGGCTCAGTTCCCTCAAATGTCAAATGAGAATGAAAAGAAATGTCTGGCCAGGCTCAATGGCTCAGCCTGTAATCCCACCACCTTGGGAGGCCGAGGTGAGTGGATTGCCTGAGCCCACGGGTTCAAGACCAGCCCAGGCAACTTAGCGAGACCTCGTCTTTACAATAAATCAAAAAATTAGCTGGGCGTGGTAGCACACGCCTACAGTTCCAGCTACTTGGAAGGCTGAGAGGGAAGGATCACCTGAGCCCAGCAGGTAGAGGCAGCAGTGACCGTGAGTGTGCCACTGCACTCCAGCCAGGGCAACAGAGTGAGATTCCAACTCAAAAAAAAAAAAAAGGAAGAAAGAAAAAAGAAACTAAATATCTACCTCATAGGGTAGATGCACAGGTTAAATGAGATCAAGCTATCTGTGGTATCTGGCTTGACTGAGTGATATGATTAAAAGTATTATTTAGGCTGGGCTCGGTGACTTAGTTTGTAATCCCAGCACTTTGGGAGGCTAAGGCAAGTGGATTGCCTGAGCCTGCAGATTCAAGACCAGCCCATGCAACTTGGTGAGACCTCATCTCCACAATAAAATTTTTTTTTAAATAGCCAGGCATGGTAGTGCACACCTATAGTTCTGGCTACTTGCAAGGTTGAGGCAGAAGGATCACCAGAGCCCAGCAGGTAGACGCTGGGGCGGCCGTGAGCGTGCCACTGCACTCCAGCCGGGGCGATGGAGTGAGACGCCAACTCAAAAAAGAAAAAGCATTAGTTCCTTTCTTACACTTCTTCACGCAGCCCCCGCCTGCTTGCACCTGAACTCGTCCGTGCACACACACGTGGCCTGTCAGAGAAACAGGGCCTTTCCTCCCTACAAGAACTAACCTCTCTCCCTGCTCAATTATATTTCTTCCCTGCAGCATATAAACTCATTTCTCACCCTGAAGGAATAAAAACATCATGGCCTTGCCACCATTCTTTCTGATTCTCAGACATATGTTGCTTTTTCCCTGTCTTCTCTAAACACATGTGCTTTATAATTGGAAGAGATGATGTCAGGACATAAAAGACTGCTTTGTTTTGCTTGTTTGTTTTCCACATTTTATACTCCTGATTTTGTTGCATGAAAGAAATTCAGTTTAACCTAATCTGCAGAACGTAGCAATTCACAGTTTGGATTTCGCTAAATCTACTTTATGATTGTCTC